AAAGCCCGGTCTCTGGGGGATGTGAATCACAGCTGTAGGGAAGCACCACTTCCCACAGAGCAAACCACGACGGCAGGAAGGTGGGCAGTGGGACGCTCGCAGGCTCCACAGAGCCCACCCAGGGAAACAGACACATCTCCAGGGACTCCCGGGAAGGGCAGGAAGTACCACCTACAACACAGCAGCACCTCACCCTCACAGGTGAGGGTCCATCTACCTGCCAGGGAAGAGGCCAGACACCACCTCCCACAATAGGCTGTGTAGATGAGTCACCAATGGGCAAGACCAATCGACGGCTGTCACGGGCTCCACAACAGCCCTTAAAGATGTGAGGGTCTTGTCCCTGGGACGGATAAATTGCAACTTCTAAGGAAAAAAGTCATTTCACGTGTGACCAGGCCCTTGAGAAGGAGACATTATCCCAGGTCATCTGGAGACCTGGACATCACAACTGTCCTCCCAAGAGAAGCACAGAGAACCGAGGTAGAGGGGGAGGCAAGGCAGAGATGAAGCGGGGAGTCCTTCAGGAGCCCCCTGAAGACTGTCCTTCAGGTCCTTCCTGCACCAATGTGGCCACAGCTGAGGGAGGCCAGCGACCACCAGAAGCCGGAGGAGCCAGATGGATCCTCGCCAAGCTGGGCAGGAGGCACAGCCCTGCGACACCTTGACTCCATCCCAGTGACCCAGCTTCTGCCCCCAAGACTGAGACAGCAGCTCCACCAGGTCTGTGGCAATTTGTCACAGCACCACCAGAAGCTGACAAAGTGCGGACAGATGCCAATCCAGCAACCGCTGAGGGGAGTGGGAGGGGACGTCAGGAAACAACGGAATGGTCAGGCCTGCAGGGCGCACACCCACCCAAACTCGCCAAGGCCACCCAGCTCTGCGCTCTGGGACGGCCATGTCACTGTAAGAGCAAAAGCTCATCCCCTGAGCCCTCGAGGCTCCTGAGGCCAGACCCCGCCTTGACTTGCCCAGTTCGAGAGCAGCAGATTCCCGCCTGCTGCCTAGGCAGGACCAAGCCGGCTGCCCATTGCTAGTGACCCTAACAGTCAGCTCACTCACCTGCTGCTGCATCTGCACTCACACTCCCAGGACACTCCGCCTGACCGTCCTCTCCTGACTCTCTGAGGAGCAGCCTGGCTGGAGCGGGGAGAGCCGGCAGGGGCCAGGGGACAGCACCAGGTGGCTCCTGAGACCACTAGGGCCTGGATCACCACAGGCCAGAGACCTTCAGCTCCCAAGGTGAAAACCAGCCCAGCCTCTGAGGGCGAGGGCCGTCCCCCACTACACACCTCGCCTCCAGAGGAAGTCAAGAGCCCACACCAGAAAGCAGCATGGCAGGGCTCACCGAGTGCAGCAGGCCACCACACTCTGCTCTCAGAGAAGAAGCAGAGACAGGGAGCAGTTGGTAGCCAGGGAGCTCGGCCACACCCGTGACAGAGGCAGGTGCCAGCCTGGCATCACAGGGAGGGCCAGAGGCAGAGCCCCAGGGCCCCAGGGACCCCAGACTCAAACTGAACCCAAGAGGGAACAGCGACAAAAAAATAAAACCTTCCAAATGGCCCGAACACCACGCTTCAACATTGCATCATGCTGTAACATGACAAAAACGTGTTTAAAAGATAAGTCACTGTCGTCCTCAAAACCGTCAGAGAAGCCTGAGAAGATTGGGCACAGGTTCTCCGTGGCAATACCAGGTCCAGCTGCTCCCACTCGGCAGCCCAGAGGCCCCAGCGGCCCTGCGGGGTCTGGAAGCCAAGCCTCAAGCTCAGTGACTGAGATACAACCACCACTTCCCAGAGACACTGCCCCTACATAAGGTCAGGCATCACCTCACCTGAGGGGTCACCCCCACATAAGGCTCACCTCCACACAGGGATTCCCTCCACATGGGGATCACCTATACATTAAAATCACCCCCACATAAGGACCACCTGTACATAGGGATCCCCTCCACACAGGAATCACCTGTACATAAGGATCACCCAAGGATCACCTCCAAATAGGGATCACCTCTACAGAAGGATCCCCTTCTCAGAAGGCATCCCCCATGCTGAGCACCACCCCTGCATAAGGCATCGTTGCGTGGTGACCTCACCGGGACATGCACTACAGGGATGGGGTAGGATGATTTTTAAAGGTCTCAAGAAATCCTATAACAGGTGTATTTTTCAGTTTGAAGAAATTCAGATTCAATGATTTCAGAATGAGCCCTTCACACCTGAGCCCTAACACGGAGTGCCCAAGGGCCACGCTGGCGCTGCCCGGGCACCCCCAGGCACCTGCATGTGGTGAGCCCCAAACTCAAGAGCCAATCCGTTCTGCTCAAAGAGCATGAACCAACACATAGGTAGACTAGCGAGATCTTCACGACCTAGTGATGGGGCAGGGCTGCTGCCTGGGGAGCTGTGGTCCTAGGACAAAGGTACAGCCCTCTACAACCATGCTGGAAGGAGGTGGCACCGCGGCCAGTCGCACACTCTGGAGTCCACCTTGCAGGGCTGGGCCTCCACCCGAGGAGGCACACGGGTTCCAGCCACCCTGGCAAGGATGTGGCTGCATGGGGGGCTGCTTCTCCAACCGTCCACAGCTGACCCAAGACAAACCACAATGAAGAGGCCCCTGCTGCTGTGGCTAACCACAGGCCGCAACCGCCGGGCAGCTAGTGCGACGCCGGGTGCTGGAGCTAGTCTGTGGTCATCATGGTCTTGCTGTCCTGGGGACGGAGCCGGGGCCCGGTGCAGCTAGTTTCTTTTTAGTGATAACAAAATATTCAGGGCCCAAACAAGTCACTCAGATTCAGGTGACTGGGCATGAACTGGACTCAATTTCCAGCCACTGTTCTCCTGGCCAGAAGGCCACCTGCCCAGATGTACCATTTAAAGATGAGGCATCCATGAAGGGCCTTGGGGTTTGTGGCTGCAGCACCTGGTAAACTGAAGCATCGCAGGAGTCTGCGCACTTGTTCTCCAAGGTTAGGAAGAGGAAGGGCAACTGGTGAGGAGGCAGCACCGTCCCTGGGAAGGGTCGGCCTGTGCAGGGAGATCATGCTCAGGACCAGTCCAGAGGAAAGCATGTGGCCCCTCCGCTCCCAGGGAAGTAGAGGACCTGGAAACGTCCACCTAGGATGGCTGGACATCTGATGGCACTGAGAAACTCACTTCCCTTTGAGTGTGGCCACTTGCACCTCACTGCAGAGACCCACCCCCTTTGGAGACACCCAGTGGGCCATCTACGGATGAGATGCCATAGGGCTACAGCAAGCTGGAGAAAGGGCCGAGACGAGACTGGCCACCATCGGCGGACAAACCCCAGCCCAGTGACGGGACCTGGCGTCATCTAATGCTTCTCTCTACCTGTTTAACATTTTCCATAATAAAAAACCCTTATAAAAACATATTGGCAAAATCTTCACCAATGAAATGACACTGTGCCCAGATCTGCCTCAGAGTGACTCAGCCTGGGAGGCCCAGCAAGGACCTGATCATGACCACCATCCATTTACCACGCACCCTGCTTTTGCTGGTGCTTGAATTGTCCATTTTATAGACTTGAAAAAGCAAAGAAAAGGGACCTGGGGTATAGGTCAGTGGTAGAGCACTTGCCTAGCATATATGAGGGTTCAACCCCAGCACTGCTGAGAGAGAGAGAGAGAAGAAAAGGAAGAAGGAAACATGGGAATCTGCAGCCTGGATGCATAAATATTTGAAAAGGCCTCATCCCAGCTGGAGGCAGCGCTCCCTAAAGAACTCAGAGAAGCAGGAGTGGACTGCAGCAGGACATGCCCCCCACCCCGGGGCCATGGCCGAACCTGCAGAGCAAGCCACCTGGCTAGCAGCCAATCGTGTTCCCACCCTCACACAGACGCATGCTGAAAAGAAGGGATGAGCTACGACCACCCAGAGAGCCCTGCGGGCAGCAGCGGAGCTGGCGCCACGTGCCACTGGCTGAGCACTAGACCAGGCGTTGCACAAGACGCCTCAGTTCAGCATACAGACTGCCCCGGGGAGAGTGCAGAGCAACAGGGAGCCCCACCAGGGTGACAGGCCCACATTGCTGTCCGGCTGGCCCGCCCCCCCCCCCCCCCCCCCTGGGCAGCAGCACCCAAGTCACCCACAGAGCCCAGGGTGCACCCTACGGCCCGGTCTTCCAGCTGGCTTTTCAGCCCTGAAGCCCCAGCCCTCGAGGAGCCAGGCCCACCGGAGAGGCCCACCCATGCCAGGGTATCTGCACACGGCTGAAATGTAGCTGAGATTGCTGATAATTAATAAAACAGAACTGGGAACGACAGGTTCATCAAAGCAGCTGGGACCTCAGATTGGCTCCAACGCCTGGCGGGCTGGAATTTCCCCCTGATGGGGCCCTGAATCACAGGCTGGGGTGGGGGACGTGCAGGTCAGCGCGCTGCTAGAGGAGGTCGGCAACAAAAGAACGCTGTGCACCACCGCCGGACCACGAGGCCCAGCCAGCACTATCGCCAGGCCTCTTCAAGGAAAGCTGGACAGCGACATGTGAAAGCCACGGTGGGCGGGCCCAGTGACTTGCTAAAATGGCTTTCTCAAACAGAAAACTAAATCTACACCAGCGCTGAAGAGATGTCTGTGCACACGGTTCCTCACCTGCATCTGTGAACTCCGACTCCTGGTTGTGATGCAGATACACTCAAGTTTGACTGTAAGAACTTTATCACCTGCGCAGATTCAAGCTGTACTATGCTTAAGATCCTATGAAAAGCACACCAAATGGCCTCGGCTTTCAAAATGATCGTCACTTCTGTGATTGTGATCAATGCTATCTCGACACATGAAGCATACTGAACTGGGCACCACTGTCCCCAACAGAACCTGCTCCTGCCAGGGACAGGTGGCTGGCACAGGAAGAGGCTCTCGAGACATGAGCCACACTTGCTGCCCTACTGCTGCTCACAACCAGCTCTGAGGGGGATACACTGTGTCCTCGTCACCCAATGAGGCCTGAGCACAGAGGGCGATGCTCACGTTGCCGTCCGCCACCACGGGGCTGCTGAACACATACTCCAGCTGGAAGACCACGGCGAAGGCCGGGTGCTGCACCATCTCAGGCAGTCGCAGGCGGCTTCTCAAAACCAGGGCCTGGTTTCCAGAGCTGGAGCAAAAACAAAACACAGGGACACGTTAGAGTGTCTCTCACGCCCCACCTGTGCCTATCCCTACCCAGGGACCAGGGGCGCAGGAGCACGGCCGACTCGGCCTGGGCACCTGTGCAGAGCTGTCCTGCATGTGCTTGGCCCCGGGCAGTCCCCAGCCAGTGCTTCCTTCTCCCAAGTGCCACAAGCAGCACCTCTCCAGACTGCCAGCGCACCCTGCAGCCAAGTCCCCAGAAGCACCACGTGGAGGAGGGTCCCATTCTCTGAGACTGACTGCTGTGGAGGACAGCAGCCCCTGCTGCATCAAGAGATCCCTGTGGTGACAGAGGGACAGGGGATTGGGAAGCAACTGCTGCATCATTTGGGAAACTAATCCCAGACACATCTGGATTCAGCATGCCAAGGGCTCCCCGGACCCTCAGCTGCCACAGCAGGAAGTGTCCAAAATGCAAACTCTAAAGTGTCAGAACACAAGAACGGGCTTTTTACAAGTGCACTAATTTGCTCATGGGGCATAACTGAGCAAGTGGAAGAAAGGTGACAGGGAAAAGCCCCAGTGGTGACTCCACACCAGCCTGCACCACAGCTTGCGTCCCCACGCACCTTGGGCCCCAGGGAGAATACCTGGTCCTGGAGGAGGAGCTCACTCTCCTGCTGAAGCTGGCCGAACGCGTCATGGCCACATCCATCTCGGGCACCAGCACAACCACCTGCGGCCTCCGCACAAAGCCCAGGCCGTTGTGCACACCCACATGCAGGCGCCGCTCCAGGACCTCTAGGGCCCCACCATCCAGCAGGCCACCCCCCTGCAAGAGGCACAGGGACATGGAATGAGTCCCACACAGCCAGAAAGAGGGGTGGCCAGAGGAGCCCCGGCAGGCAGGCAAGCAGATGAGTCCAAGCAAAGGTCAGGTACTTAAGCCCACCGTGACTGCTGGCCACAGCACCTCCTAGGTGAGGCTGGCCTTGCGACACCACCGTCCTTTCCAAGCAGCACGCCCTGCGGTGCCTGGTGGCCAGGCTACTCTAGCTCTCCAGAGCTCAGCTTTCCCAGATGGGCAGCCTCCTCCCCACGGACCTCGGCTCCCACCACAGAGAGGTCCCAGAGGTCTGGAAGCTCACTCTCCTGAGACAAGGGGACACATGATAGAGAGGTGCCCACAAGCAGAGCACACCCAGTTTCAACTCTGTGCCCCCAGAGACTTGAGGCTCTGGGAAGAAAGGGCAGGACGAGGATGACGTACACTCAGGCAGGAAGTCACGAACCAACAGCAACGGGGTCGGCCTCAACGTTGACCACCAGATATTAAAGTGCTTCATCTTAACAGAAAATGAACAGGCGCTCTGACCAGTGAACAGGGGTATTCGTCCAGGCCACTTGCACTTATTAAATCATGCAATCTTTGCAAAGCGACTGAATTTTCCAGTACCCATTAATCAAGTGAATGGACCTAAATTCAGCCTATTAGTCTTTGGATAATGGAAATTAAACCTCAGAGACAACTGAGTATCTGCCAGTTGGATAGGAACAAAGACACAAACATAAGATAAACAAAATAAAAACACACAGTAAAGTTGTTTTTAGGAATAGGTAAAATTCAACCATGGCACTCTTAAAACTTCTCTGCCTTCACACGACCCACTCTGAAAAATAAGAAAACAACTGATCTCCCTAGAAAATGGTTGCTGCACAGCCTGCTTCTGCTCCATGCCTGCATGTTAGGCAGAACTAGTTTCTAAGAAGAGAAGAAGCAAAAAAGCCAGCTTGCTCACGGGGAACCAGTCACTTGCTCACTGCGTAGGCCACGAGAGTGGGAGCCGAGTGAGAGGACCACCTGCTCCCACAAGTGGAGACTCCAGCCCTGCCACAAGTGCCCTGGCAGAGCATGGTACACCCACAGCTCATCCTCCCTAGAGCAGAGGGAGGGCAACCCTGGGCAGAGAAGAAAACCAGGTGCTCCCCGAGGCATGGTGCACTGGAGAGGTGCGGGTCAGCTGAGGGGAAGGAGACCCATACAGGTTTGCACAGGGGCCAAAGAAGGCCTATAGGAAGAATGCCAGGAAATGAGCCTCATGTCCAAAGGCCCAGTGGCCAGCACGCGTCCACAGGTGAGTCCAGGGAGCAGCTCAGGTCAGGAAGCCGGCAGAGAAAGCCCATACCCTGCGCAGGTCCGGCATACAAGGCCAGGTGCCCAGCGTCAGCCTGAGGGCAGTGAGGAGCCGAAGCCAGCAGGAGGTCTGAGCAGGAGGAAAGGCACTAGCTGCCTGTGTTTCTAAAGACCACTGTGGCTCTGGGCAGAGGCTGTGGCCTCAGAGACACCGCAGCCAGCCTCCAGCTGACCTGCCAGCTACCTGCACACAACCAAGGATGAGTTGCCTCCCGCTCAAAATTCCACCAAGAGCCAGGATCCATGCACAAGAACACGCACAGCAGGGTCCTAACGGCCCCACCTGGAAGCAGCTGAGAAGGCCACCCTGTTGATGGACAGACACGTGGCAGGGCACTCACAGGAACACCACACAGCAAAGACAGTGTGCAGGCTGCTCCGACAAACAGCCCTGCACAGTGTCCAGCGAAGACAGCACAAAGAAAAGGCGGCTTCGTGGAAATAAAGGTGAAACGAGGCAAACTCACACTCGTCCAGGCACCTCGAGTGACAACCCAGGACAAGAAGCAAACACCGGGCAGCAGGAAGACCTGGGAGCGGGAGGCTGGACCAGGAGCCCAGGCTCCTTTCTCCTCTCTTCCATTTGCCAAGCCCCTCGCCCTCTGTGGCCTGACTGACGCAAGGAGATGCCCCTCGGTCTCCTGGCATCTGTGGCAAAGCTTTTTGTGGAAAAGCCAAGAGTGAGCACCCTCGGTGTCCCAGGAGGCCAAGAAGCAGCTCCCTAGTCCAGTTCTGCTGCCCCTCCTCCCTGCTGGTGGCTTCAGCTCCGGAGCAGTCAGCACCAGGCCCGGGCAGCACGGAAGCCATGTGCAGCCCACCTCCTGTTCCTGGACCGTCCAGAGGAAAACAGAGGCCAGGCCGGGCATCGGGGACAAAGAAAGAAATGAGGAGTCCCCCAAACCTGCAGAGGCTCTGAGGATCTCCGGGTGCACAAATGAGCTGCATGAGAATACCCAGGGAAGCTGGGGGGGGTGGGGGGGGGCAGAGCTTGAGCTGTCCTCGCACTCAGGTCTTGCCGCCTGCAAGTTGTCATCACTGGACGGGAAGAGGGGCCCTCAGTGTGGGGGTCCTGCTGCAGGGCAGCCTGAGCAGCACACGGGAGCTGACGTGCAAGCTGGGGCACGTGTGCTGTGTCTCACTATGGCCACATGCGCGTCCCTGCCTGATAGGTGGGCAGATCCCCCAACCAGGAGCATGAAGCACCCTGCCAGGGCATGCAGTGACAGAGGGGGACAGGAGTGCTCCCATGGGCTCCCAGGTTAAGGCTTCTAGGAATGTGTCCATGTGGATGGCAGAGTGCCAAGGGTCAGACAAGGGTGAGACGTTCTCAGCTGCCTTTAGGGGTGAGCAACAACTCTCCAGTCACCTCCTGAAATGAGCCACAGTGCCTGGTCACCCATGTCCACTTGGGGTCATGATCTGCTTTAAGTGAGGAGTGTTTTGTCATCTACTGAGATGAGAGTCAGTGTCTCCAGCCAACAGCACCTTTGTCACCTTCCAGGATGGGGGGCTGGAGGATCTCTGGGGTCTGAGGAGGAAATGGGTCCCAGGAAACCTGTTTTACACCAACTCAGAGACAGAAACAGTGTCCCTCTTCAGCCACAAAGTTGGGAGAGACAGGACCACATCCCCTGGGCACACCGTCCACCCCAGCAGCACCAGACTCTGGCAGCTGGCCCAGCCCTCAGGATGCCCTCCTCGCAGCAGGTGAGACGTACCTCCTGGACGTGATCGCAGGTGAGGAGCTGCGCCAGCTCCTCCTCGAACCTCCCGAGGGAAGGGCACAGGGTGAGGAACAGGTCGTCCAAGTGCCACGTGACGGGCTTCTGGAGCCGAGGCTTCCGGAGGGCGTCGCCTGCGGTGAGAGGCTCGTGTGAGATGGCACGGGATAGCAGGCAGAGGAACCCCAGGCCTCAGACCACAGGCAGTGGGACCTCGAGGCCAGGAGGAGGCAGGGGAGTCACCTGGACACAGCACGCCGGGCCACCCACTGAGCTAAGGTGCACAAACTGCACTTGCCACTCAGATTCCAGCAAACCTCCTCCAGAGGCAAACTGCAAGTGGGCCACTCAAAGAACACAGGGCAGACAGCAAAGCACGTCCACTGCCCTTCAGCTGGGTTCCCTCAGCGCCACCTCCTCAGCCACACCAATGCCACTGCATTTACCCGAACCAGCTGGAAATGGGACCACGTGCTGACATCTTGCAGCAAGCAGACACACAGACGGGGCTGGCACCACAAGAACCAAGCCCTGGTTCTGACCCAGAAGCCTCGCCTTCTCCCTGAGGTCACCCCCAGTGCACAGCGGGCACACAGCACAGCTGAGGTGGGAGCTGGATCTGCTCCACGCTGCAGGACCAGGAGAAGCAGCCGCTTCCCAACCCACATAGGGATCTGTGTTTCCTCTCCCGGCCACTGCAATCTTCCCCTACCTCCAACTCTTCCTCTGTTTTTGTGGTTATTTGCATATTAGGTCTTAGGTTTTTAAAAGATAATTCCAAAGTTAAGTAAACACTTGGTGCTAAGGAAAACACGGTCAGAGGGAGGGCGGGAGAGCAGGGAAGAAGGTTCATCTTTGCCTTTGTGTCCACAAGAACCCAGGGACAGATGGCGGAGAGGGCTGCACAACAATGTGAATGTGCTCAACGGCCCTCCACTGCCCACTGAGGGATGGGGAAGATGGCCTGAAGTCCACCATCTGCGCGGTGGCTGAGCGAGCATCCTAGACAACCTGAGCTGGGGACACCCTGCACCCAGCTAGACAGGAAGCAGTGGGGGGAGGGAGCGAGGTAGCAGGGAGGTGGGAGGCCCCCGCAGCACCCAAGGCTCCTGTGCTACTTCTGGGAAGACAATGGCAAGGCCAGCAGGGGCCTGGGAAGGTGACAAGCGCCCAGGCCACTCCAGGTGAGCAGAGAGCATCCCAGCAAAGTAAGCCAGAGGAGAGGAGGAGAGGAGGGGGAGAGGAGGCCGAGGAGGCGAGCGGGCCCAGGAGAAGAGCAAGATGAGAACACACAGGCCGCTGTGCCCCGGTGGCTTCTGCAGATGCCCCCCACTAGGCAGACGGAAACTGTATCCTCCACCTAATGCACACGTTCACCTCGATGGTGGGCGGGGGTGCTCGTGGGTGCCCTCTCAGCCCGCCCACCCGAAGGCCTGCACCACACTGGCCAGCAGCACGGCTGCTTCACTCACGAGGGCATGACAGCGGCCACCCAGAACCTTCTGCTCCAGACCAGCAAGGCCACTGGCCACATAGCAGGCTGGACCTGGGGCGAGGGGCCCTGTCAGCAGACGTGAGGGCTCCAGGTGGATGTCACTGACGGGATGCCACTGAAGGGAGGTGGTCACGCCCATGTGCACCTGCAAGTCCTCCACCTCCTCCCACACTGAGGCCCCCGCTCTCAGCCTTCACTGGTGGCACCATCCACAGCGCCCCACCCAGGGACTTCTATCAGCCACCACAGAAAGCCGAGACTCCCAGGACACCCCTGCCCCACCCTCAACTCCCGCAGGCCCCAGGGCACTGTCCGCTGGACTACCCCCAGCACACTCCAACTTGACATCCCTGTCACTGGGCAGCAAAGGCATGGCCACCCCACAAGGTGGCAAGGACACGCAGACGCCACCCTCTGGCAAGGACAGTGACGACATGCCCAGCTCACACAGTGCTGACCTCGACTCTACTGACTTCTTAACTTCTACAGAAACAGAAGGGGAAACCCAGTGTCCTCCTCGCCCACACGAGGTGTGGCATGCTGCTCCTGGACACTGGTGCAGAACCCCAGGCCACAGGCATCTGAATGTTCAAAATGCAGATGTGACAGTGAAAGATGACCAGCTGCAGTGCACACAAGGGGATCCCAGGGTCATGGACCGAGCCTCCTCGGGGGCACGGGGAGATGAGAAGCTAAGCACGGGCAGGGCTGCAGGAGAACAAAACAGGGACAGAGAAAAGGGGGCACCAAAGGCCACGACCCAGTTGCTGGCAGCACTGGTGACAGAACAGAGGACACACCAGCTATAGCAAGAGAGCTGAGTAGCCTGGAGCCAGGAGGGAGTCACATGGAGGGGCTGCAGCCACAGCAGGGCCAGCCACCGCCCCTGCATCTCCTGCCCTGCACACAGCGGCCGGCCGGCCACAACTGCGGGGTGTCGCACAGCAGGACCTGTCCGCAGGAAGAAGTCAGGTCCGCCAAGAGTCGCCAAGGCACCGCCTCCTCAGGAGAGCTGAGGAGCTTCTCTGGAGGCAGGCGGGCCTGGGAGCCAGGCCTGGTGTGGACCCAGCTCTGCTCATGGCCCTGGACCAGGCACTGCCACTCTCAGTTTCCACAGCTGAGCAAGGGGGGAGACCATGCCCCCCCAGCCTGTGGGTCTCGCTACCTGCAAAGTCGCTCTAGAGTCACCGTAAACCCTGACGAGGACGCAGGCCTCGCTTGGCTCCCAGGAGAGATGTGCGGCACACATAGGCCACGAGAGCACAGTCCTAAATCCTCGGATGTGCATTCCACACTGTACTTAGCAAAAGAACACCTGGGGCTCAGGGGCCACCCTACTAACAGCCACCATCCCCATCTGGTCACCCTCTCTGCTGAGTGTCCCCTTGTTCCACACCAGCCAGGACATGTGCCGCAGACTCGTTAGCTTCCCATGGCTCCGCAAACTCCCACCAGTGGCGGGAAGAGCTGAGTCTTGATTTGGGGATGGAAACCAGTTGTGGTGAGCAGGTGAGTCCATGAGCACAGGATCCACCGTGAGGACCGAGAAGCCACAGAGAATGGAAGTTGGACGCGGAGCTGGCGAGCGCCTGGTAACACTGGCCTGTACATCCAAGAGGGGGCGGGGCCCACACACAGCTGCGTCCAGCCAGGCGGGCACACATCTCCACTGCCGTGGTCCATCCTGACAACAGACCGGTGGTGTCTGAAGCTGGACCAGGCTCACCTACCACCAGTGCCTGCTGCTGGGTTTTTTCCCCCAAGAAATCTCAACAACTAAGGACAAGGACCTCCTTTCAGGAAGAGCCACCCTGGTGCCCAGTGCCTATTCCACAGGGCAACAATGCAGCAGAAGGAGTGGAGCCACTGGGCAGCTGGCCAGTGGCAGAGCCCAGTGATCCCAGAGCAGCCCAGGCCTGGGCAGAAAGCAGACTTCCATGGCCATCCCCAGGGGCCATGACCACGACTGCAACCCAGGACTGCAGAGCGGCAAGGAAGCCCCACGGAGGAAGAGGAGCTCCCTCCGGGACACCAGAGGAGCCCCGCCTTCTAGGTCTGGAGGCGCTGGGAAGCCAGGGCAGGGCTGGGCATCCTATGAGTGTCGCAGACTCTGGGGCAAAGTGCCCAGCTCCCAAGCCTGGCTCCATCGCCCAGGTGCTCTGGGCCTGAGGAAGCGAGACTGAGGAAGAGCAGCGGGGTCAGAGCAGAGCCTTCTCTCCACGTACGTGAGGACTGGGAAAGATCAGCGCTTCCAGGACGCGCTCCGAGGGAGGGAAGCGTGGGCTTCAGCTGAACTTGAGACAGCAGGTCCCGAGGCAGGAGCAGCAGCTCACGTGCTGGCACTTTGCTAGTCCATCTCACTTTCTCCCCCAAACAGTCCTGTCCCCATTTTATAGAGGGAAAACAGAAAACAAGGCCTGGGGAGGGCAGGCGGGGCTGCAGGGATCTGAGGTCTCCAGCAACAGAGGCTCGCTCCACCCCGGAAACCATCAGGCCCCAACGAACACCAAGTCCCAGCCACACAGTGACCAGACGGACCGCCAGTGCGGTCACCAGACCCAGCCCCCACAACTCCACCCACGCACTGCTCACTCTCCACCCACCTCCTGGAAGTGGCCAGGCGCTCGCTGTCCTCAGGCACTTTGGGGATCACAGGCCCCTCCCTGCAAAGGGGCACACTCTTTCCTCCAGAGCTAAGGGCACCGTGAAAACTGGACCACCCCTCCCTGAGCACCCCACATGGCCTTGGGTTCTAGTTCTGGAAAGCCCAGCTGGACTTCCGTGAGCGGGCGTCCTCACTCAGGGAGCCCGAGCCACCCTGGCTTAACCTCACCAGCATCCCGGCTGTGACACCGCCACACACACGGGACCTCTCCGCGTTGGGAATCACGACCTTGTGTGGCCTGACAGTGACACAACAGAAACTTCACCTCTGTCCTCCCACTGCTGCATGTCACAAATGAACCTAAAATCCACCCCTGCAAGTGAGCAACGAAGACCGCCACTAAGAAAGCCCAGTCAGACGGCCCTCCCCGATGCAGACCATCATCTGGCGGAAACCCTTTCCACGGGACAGTCACGAGGGCGCAGAAGCTGCTGGGCAGAACTCGGGGCAGAGCCAACACCTGGGTGAGCACTCTCGGCACTTTCGACCTGGCACCCTGCATACCAGCCGAGGCTGCGAGGCTTCTCTTCCAAAACTGTCACTGGGGAGCCAGCAAGAGCCACATCCCATGGCTCGGCTCGGGAGCACCTGCATGGAGTCAGCACTCTCTACCCACCCACCCCAGGGCTGCACTGGCTCCTCTTTCAGGGTCCCTGCTCCTTAGACTCAATAATGACACATGAAGTGCCCTTCATTTCTGCAGCTCCTCAGGCACCACCCGCAGGTGACCAGTGCCTCAGCGCCAGACTGGCTACTCCACAGGAGAGCGAAGCCAGGCCGGGCTGAACACCCGTGCTTCAGGACAGCCCTGAGGGGACTTCTCAGCTACCTCCTGCTTCTCCATCCAGAAGCCCGATTTTGGCCACCAGCTCCCTTTGTACCCCAGCTCCCCACAAGATACTGAGAACAAAACAGGTGTTTCCGGGATCCGAAGTTTCTGTCACCACCCCACCCACAAGAAGCAGCAACTCCACGGGGACCTGCAGATGCTTTCTGTCCTAGCTCAATCCCACAGACACCTGTGCACAGTCACAGAGAGATGGATACACCACCGGCCCCCAGAGCACAGGTCAAGACGCCCGCCACAGTGACCCTAAAATCCACATGCAACAAGGTCCTCAGCATTGGCACAAGCAGGACAACACACCACAGCGGAGCTCAGGGTCCCCTGGCCAGGGCCCAGGACATGCCCAGGGCAGCGAGACGGGGCCACAGCCCAGCAGGCAGGGCCAGGCACTGGTTTTCACCCTTCACTCAAAGCAGGGGCAACGAGGCCCACTTGTCTGGCCTCCCATTTGGGGAGGTCACAGGTAGGACTCACACCAGGGGCTGAGGAGGACACTGTAAGCTCAGGGCTGGGAGGCAGAGTGGGCAGCTCGGGGTTAGGGGCTCGAACTTCAGCTGGAGGAGATGAGAACATTCTGGAATGGCGAAGGCAGCAGCTGCACAGTGGTGTGAAGGTGCTCACCCCTGACAGTCCCCCGAAAGACAGCTCAGGTGGCAAGCTGCACGTCATATATATTTCACCACAACTGAGAAGTTATAATGACAATGAGTTCCTAAAAGGGTGGGACACAGCAAGGGTGGGACACAGCGATAGTGTCTTTGCTGGCCACCATCATAGGGAGATGGACGATGTGTTTTATGAGAGTATTTACCAGAAAAGAAGGCAAAGGTGACACAAGGATGGCAGCTCACTCCCCAGAAGGGACAGGGACGGATGGCCTTGCTGCCTGCTCCCCAGGCTGGGTGCTGAATTAGAGTGGGACTGTGGCCACTCACCCACCTGGAGGAGGCCGGGTCCTCTGAGGTCCAACGTTGAACCACAGACCCACAGAGAGAGAACCAAAGGAGCCTCACCGGTTTCGCTGTGAGCGGGGAGGAGGCCAGGGATCCGCTGCAGCCCCGACACCAGCAGGTTCTGGGGCACCAGGTGGAAAGCAGGCTCCAGCGGCGGGTGGAGCCGCAGGGTGTACAGCAGGCTGCAGCTCTCGATGAGGGTCATGTGCTTGTTTTCTGGGGAAGAGAAAACATGGGGCTGAAGCCAGGGCACTTCTGTCAATCAGCAAGAAACAGACTCGGGGTCACCACCACTCAGGGAGATCGTCTTGTCTAAGGAGACAGGAGTCCTTCTGCCCCGTTAGCCTAGAGATAGAAAGCACAAGGGCCATTTGTTTGGCTTTTGTTTGTATGTGTGTTTGGGATTTTGTGCATTTTGTCTGTTTCTGCAGTGATGAGAAAGCTCCTCATCCTCCTTCCTGGCTGCGAGGCATTTCCTTAAATTAGTGTTCTGTGATTGAATCTGCTCGTGTGTGGACACTTGGGCAGCTCTGTTTGCTAGCTGAGCCTTGCCACAGGGGTAGCTGGGCTGAGGGAGAGGAAGGCTGGACCGAGGCTGATCCAGCCCAGGGCCTCCGGCGTGCTAGGCAAGCACTCAGCCTCGGTCCAGCCTTCCTCTCCCTCAACCCAGCTACCCCTGTGGCAAGGCTCAGCCAGCAAACAGAGCTGCCCAAGTGTCCACACACGAGCAGATTCAATCACAGAACACTAATTTAAGGAAATGCCTCGCAGCCAGGAAGGAGGATGAGGAGCTTTCTAGGTACTGATACGAAAATCCTCCAAATGAATGTTAAGAAAAAAGCAAGGCTTAGAAAAAACATTTGCTCAGTGTCATAAAAAGAGCCACCAGGATCCTGACCAGCTCCAAGAGGGAGGCTAGCAGCAGCAGGGGGGCAGCTGGCGGAGGAGAGTTCACTCTCAATCTCCATACTTTTTCAGACCTTTGGAACTCTGAACCATGTGAACCACCAGTGAAATGCCAACGCAGTGGCTGGACGGGCTGCTGGCTGGAGGCTGGTCCTCTGCACCCACTCCCACTCAGAACGGAGCTTGCACATAGAATTGTGGGGGTAGAACCCTGGCAGCCCTGGATACTTCAGGAGGGAAAAATCTTAGCAAAAAATAATTAAAGTCAATGAAAAAATAACCTAAAAGCAATCTTTATAAACAAAATTAACTTTCCAACTGATTGCTTCCCATCTCAAGATTTTCACCAAATTTGGGGGCAGGGGGTGCCACTGAACATTCTAGCACAGGCCACAGTGTGCACACACAACTGCTTTCAGGGCGTCGGGGCCACATCTCTAATGGACAAGAGGCATGCTCCCCAGCAGACCCACATCCTGCCACTCTCCCCTCCACCCTCCCTGGGGCCTGGCTCAGCATCTGCTCTGGGCCTCCGGGATGTCCTTCCAAACAGCCCCCACTACAGGTGCCTCCCTGCTCATCCTCCAGGTAGGCAGCATCACAGGGGGCCACACCTCCCAACAGAAGCCCAGTAGGAAACTCCCCTGCTGTGGGGCAGCAGTCTGCAGACATCCCCATCAGGTGGGCACAGCTGGGAAGGCCTCACTGTTAGTGATAACCAATGACTTCAGTCAGAGATCTTGCTGCTCAGCTGCTTCATCTGGTAGGCAAGGTGTCATCAGAGGCCAGGAGGCCTCCCCCTTTCATGTGGCTGACAAAGGCCACACCCCCAGCTTGCCTGGCAAAGCAGGGTGGGTGCATTTCAGTTTTTTAAATTATGCAAAAAGCCAAGTCCATGACACATTTGCCAGAAACTATTAGATAACTGTGCTAAGCCGAGGGCAGCTGACATTCAGGCACATGGAGGCACATGCTGAGGCAGGAACATGCTCAGGAAAGTTGCAGTCTCTGCCCGTGTGGCCAAGGACAGGCTGGTTCTTACGCTCCACAGGGTCTTGCAGAAACGGGTGCAGAAGGGCTCTGGGGGTGCCATGGTACAGCCTCAACCTGGAAAACAGGACCAGGGAACCTCGTCAACCATCCAGCTTGCACCAGGCACCAAAGGCCAGATCTGCTTCTCCCACACCTCTAGAGCCTTCTAATGCTGCCAGCCCCGACCTCTGCAGGGAACAGGCAGCTGAGGACAATGTCGGTGGCCCTGCCCAGAGCTCCACGACATGCCGAGCATATCGGGCACACCTCGGCCCAAGGCCTAAGGAGCAAAAATGTCCAAGGGAAAATCACCAAACTCCAGCGTCCCAAGAAAGACAAGGTTTAAGGGACTGCTGTGGCCTATTGCCAGAGCAGTCTCCTCCATGATGACTTCACCCCAGGAACATTTGGCAGTGTCTGGGGAGGCTTTGAGCTATCCTAACTGGGTGCTGGCATCTAGCAGAGGGAGGCCAAGGATGCTGCCAAGCATCCAGAATTCACCGGTGGCTCCCTAACCCTAACCCTAGGCCCTAGCCCTCACCACCCACCACAGAACAGAGGAGGACCTGCCTGGATGTCAGGTGGTCTACACACACGGGAACTCTGACCCTGCTGAGACGCTATGTGTGACCTTGTGCTATGTGTGACCTTGTCCGTGTCTGCACACCCAGCTCCTAAACACGGCCTGCAGGCAGAGGCGTTTCTGCTGCGGACCACAGACCACTTCCTGGGGCCTGGGTGTGAAATGCACATGTTTCATGCTCAAGAAGCAAGAGACACACTATCCTCTCTCAGCCACAGAGGAGTGGACTTGGGACCTGAGAGTGTGAATACCGTTCCTGGACCCCACAGGGGACAAACAACAGGGCAGGGCTGGCCCAAATACATGCTACATCAGATCCAACACTCACAGTCAAAGCACAACTCCTCAGCTTGCTTAGAAATGACAAAACAAAACAAAAAAAAGTAATAGTAAAATAAACAAAAATCTCTTACAGTACACTATTATGAACACATAACAAACTTAAAGCTCTCTGACCACCAAGAGCAAGCTGTTAAGCCACAGTGAATGAGGCTGGGGACCACAGAAGTAGAAAAACAAAGCAGATACCGTTTGTCCTGGGAAGCAGAGGTCGGAGAGTCAGGTTTATTGCTGAAGATCCGAAGAATTCCAAACCCACAGGACAGTGACTGGAGGGTCCCATCCTGCTTCCTGCCTTCAGTGACCACTTCCACTACGGCCACGATATTTGGGTGGTTTAAGGACGTATGGAAGTAGAAAGGCTGCAAAACAGATCAGAGGCCGCTAGGCAGAGCCAGGTGGTGGGCTATGTCCCCAGCCTGCGGTGGGCGGGCAGCCGGGGAGCAGGTGCCAGACGCGCTTCAGGAGCACACCACAAGCACCAGGGACTGTGCATGAGCCCTCATGTGCAGCGCCACCCCTGATGGGGAAAGAACAGCGCAGGAGGCCACCCCCCAGAGTCTAGCCGGTGTCAGGGCTTCTCCCGCCAGGGGCTGACACCCAGGCTCCAGACACTTTGCCTCTGCTCAGGACCTTTCAACCCTGGGAATTCCACCTTGCAGATGCCAGCAGGTCTCGGGCCTCCTGGGGAAGAAAAGCTGGCCAGCTGTGCACCTGCGGCAGGGGTGGTGACTCCAGGCAGGACGGGTTGCCTCAGCCCAGGACAGAACAAGCCCTCTACAGATGTACAGGTCTGCTGACCCTCCCCTGCCCCAAGCCCAGCCGACTCTCAGTACAGAACTCTCATCCCGACTGCCACTCTCCCCTCCACACTCCCTGGGGCCAAGCTCAGCCTGTCTCAGGAGGTTCGTGACAGTCCACCTGAACTCACTGTGTGCACACCAGAAGGAGCCCTGGATTTCTGTAGGTGCTAAGTCTCCCCAGCTCAGAGCCTGACCAAGTCTTCTATGATGACCTAGAGATCTTGCTAAAAGATGTGGGGGCCTAGGCCAAGTAGAGGCCATTCAAACTGAACTCAGCAGATGTTCCCTTTGTAACCTCTTCATCCCCAACATGCAAGAGGGGGCCTCTGACTCCTGTGTCCCCAGGGCCTGAAGGGACCTGGAGAGAAGCGAGAGGTGAGGCAAATCATCTCCCTGTTCGACACACTCTGTCTTCCTGCGTCAGTCAATGAAGTGAAGTTACCTGCAGTTAAAACTGACGGAGGCGCAGGCTCAGAAGGTGGAGCAGAGCTGCTGGTCGCGTCTGCCAACCCACGGCGTCCGGTATCTGTGTGCACAGCACTCACAGGTGACACTGAGCTGGCTTCCAGACTGAGAGGGTGTAAGGCTGGGTGAGAGCCACCCCCCAGAGGCAGGGCAGAGGCTGGCCTGCACCCGACTCCCCTATTAACGGGTCATTACCATAGTGTCACCGAGAGAACGTTTACTGTAATCACTGACTGTCAGCCCAGGATAACAGAGAGACACATTCAGACATCCGCCATGAGATATAAATTGCCATTCCATTATCTTTTATTGCAAAAACGATGAAATGATGACCACTCACAGCTGACAGGTGGTTGGACTGGGAGAGTCATGTTTCTGCTTCAAAGACTCAGCAAGGTTTAAGAAGCCCCACCACCGCACAGCCAAGTCTGCACTATCTCACCTGTATATTTACACCTGTGCACTTCGGTTTTATGAACACTGCACAGCTTCTGTTTTGGCAGTAAAACAAACATTTTAAACTCCAATATGAAGCAACAATCATCTCCTAGCTTAGAGGTCACCTTGCAATTAAGTGCTCCACCTGAAGCAGTGGAGGGCTCAGATAGTGGCTGCTCGCTCACCTCCAGCAACCATCACTGGGAGGCTGAAACAGCCCAGAGGACAGGCTCTCAGCCCAGTGGCCAGCCTGGAACCTAAGAGCACATCTTTCTTGAGAAGAAGCAGCCATCCCTGGCAGCTAGCAGGCTGAAAGGCAGGTCAAGTTCAGACAGTCCTGTCAGTTCCACTGCTGACTGACAAGGACACACTCTTCCAAAAATCATTTACTGACCATCAGTGTAGGAACGGCTCCACGCTAAAGAACTCATGAGGAACCTGGAAAACACAACCCAGCCTTAGCCAAGTTCAAGGTTCGCTGGCTTTAGAAATGACGGACTGCACAGCTACCGACTGCAAACACTGCTCAGGACTCTGCAGTTCTGAGACTCAGGCAGGAGCCTCCCAAGAGGGAAACCTCTGCACAGCTTGAACCACCACCCCACGCCATCATCCCCACGTAGTCACAAAGTCACACTGACTGCTTCACCTGCACCTTAGAGCCCTGCCTTCCTGGGAAACAGGCTCAGCCAGAATCCCAACAGCACCCCACTGAGACACACCTGGGCCCGTTAGTCTAGGGGAATTTAATTAACACCAACGCCACACGTTTTGAGAGAACAGTTCTATGCATCCACTGAAACTGCATGATTAAGCGTTCAAGTCAAGCCCATCCAATTACCCGCGGGAGAAGGCCACTCAAGACAGGAGAGACGGCTCCAGTTCACCCTGCATCACCTCCCACTCATCTGCACTGACAAGCTTCCTCCCTGACAGGATAAACAGATTCATAAATCATTTAAATGCTCCTGTCCTAATGCCTACATCTTCAAAAACACGGACACCACTCGCCTCAGGCCAGTTCTCCATCTCTCACCCACGACAAGACTGAAACTGGGCTCTGCCGATGTGTCTTTAGGAAGAAGCTGCACCAGGCAAGCGACCAGCCCCTGCTGACATGTGCCCTGAAGGCCAGGGAAGAACTGAGCAGAAATCAAACCAGCACCTTCCCAAGAACTCACTTAAAGAGGCACCAGGAGCAGAGCACCTTCGGGAGGACCAACTCCCCACCAACACCTCCCGGCTTCCACCTGCAGCTCGGCCTCACACCGGGGCTGTCTGCCTGTCCCAGAGCCCACAGCTGACCACCCAGCGCCGCCGACACAGCTGAACAGCTCTCCTCCAGGACGCACAACCTCAAGTTCAAAAGCCAGAAGCTTCCACAGCAAAGGGTCCCAATGATGGCTCCGGCCCTCACCACCCACTACAGAACAGAGGACCCACCTGGATGGTGCCGCGGTGAGAAACCCTGGTATACACACATGGGAACTCTGACCCTGCTGAGAGCTACGTGGGACCTCGTCCGCATCTGCACACCGGCTCCTGAACACGGCCTGCAGGCAGAGTGGTCCACCAACCTCTGCTGCGGACCACGGACCACTTCCTGGGGCCTGGGTGTGAAATGCACATGCTTCATGCTCAAGCAGCCCCTGCAAGACACACACTGTCCTCTCTCAACCACAGAGGAGTGGACTCGGGACCTGGGAGTGTGAATAACGTGCCTGGACCCCACAGGAGACAAGCAATAGGGCAGGGCTGGCCCACGTGCATGAGCCAATGCTCAGCAAAGCACGACTCCTCTGCTCACTTAGAAAAGCAGGGGAGGACACACAAACCAAGGGTGCTCCCAGAGCCTGTATCACGAGCACACAGGACAAAACCCACCACTGACAGTGCTCCATGTCCCCAAACAAGTGGCAGTGCCATCACCATCCAGCCAGACCCAGCGCTGGAACACCTCTGGAAATCACCTGTGCGGGCCCCGCTGGAGGTCAGAGGCCCCGGGAGCGTTCCCGCTGAGCCAGAGAGGAGGGTGGCCCTCGTGGAGGGGAGCGCTGCCGGCCAGCAGGCAATCCGGGGAGGCTCCTACAGGGACACGGCTTCCTCAGAAGCAAAGCCACAGCTGCTGTGCTATGACCACTCACGTGAGGATGTGGCCTCCCCCACCGGCTGCAGGAAGAAAGCCTGAGAGGCAGCGCCTCCCGTCAGGCTGGGGAAGGGCTGGGTTACCCTCGGGCTCCCTGACAGCACCCACTTCTAAAGGCACCTACATGGCCTCACTACCTGACCAGCAGGGGCAGCCCAGTCCTGCCGTCCCCTCACTGTCATGGGTGGGGCAGACAACCCATCCCCTGAGGGACCAACAGCCGACCCCTGAAGGGGTCCTGGACCAGTGCACACTGGACTGAGAAGGCCCAGAGTCCCCACCCTGTGACACTCCTCAAACCAACAGGGGGAAAATCGGCCTGCCACAGGAGGCGGGACCGCGGTCAGCTGCAGCATGAACTGGGGGAGAGTTCTGTCATCTCCAAAAGCAGACGTGGAAAACACAGGCCCCCGGCCAGGGTGGGCTGGAAGGCACTTCTTCAGAGGCTAAAGGAGTTACTCATCGTCTCAGAGGAAGCAGCTCTTCCCCGCCGGGGAAGGTCGGAGGAGAGCAGAGCTCCTCGCCTGGGTCCCCCCAGCAGGGCCTGGGAAGAGAACCGGGGTACAGAGCAAAGAGTCCTCCTTACAGAAAAAACACTCCCCCAGCCTCAAGGCCAGAGTTCTTTGTTCAAAGTCTTTTTGAGGGGACAGTGTTGTCACGAGAGCCTCTTCTCTCAGGGCTGCATGCACAGTGATGGCTCAGTGAGCCCAGAGCAGGCCAGGTGGGTCCATCCACGCACACGTAAGCTGGACAACCAGGGTGGCCCCAAACGCGACACCCTCCTGCTGGCAGCTCACTAGCTTCACACCAGGTCACCTGGGCCACTGCAGATGGAGGAACCAGGAAGACCTGGTCAAACCTCAGAACCACCTTTCTCGAAGCCAACAGGACTTCCGCAGCTGCACCCCGCAGGCAGGCAGCGGGGGCAGGTGGCCAGCACGCGGCTGCAGAGCGCCCAGGCCGAGGCCACAGCACACACTCAGGCGGTGGAGGGCAGTCCTCCTAGTTACCTAAACTGAGCAGGCCTGCTCTCTGCGCCCTGCATGAAAAGGAAGTCAGAGGAACACAGCCAAGCGGCTGTCAGGCGGGATGCTTCCTGGGCCACCACTGGCCTCTGCTGCCCACAGTGGGCACAGCAGCTAGGAATGAGTCAGGGGTGCCAGCACCCGCTCCTGCCTAAGCACCCCCCGCCCGCCCTGCTGACCTGCGGCCTTCTCCACTCAGGGACACCTCGTCACTGTGGCTCCCTGCGCGTCCCCACCTCCGCCCTGTCCCTGACAGTGCTCCCCACTGGTGACCCTGACCCATCAAGCAGGCTCCTCAGACTCCCCACTTCAGGTGTGAAGCAGCAGCCTGGAGGGACAGGGCTCGGTCACATGCTGCTTTCTGAGTAAAACCCCAGTGAAGGACCTGCAAGAAGGACTGCAGGACCCTGCCAAGGAGGTCACCTAACCAGGGCCACCCCTGCCACACTGGCCTGGCCTGCTGGCCCAGGGCCTGTCTGTCTCGCCCTGCAGGCCCCAGCCGCAGCAGCTCTCCCCCAGTGAGACCCATGGTGGCTTCAATCGCTGTGCTTCCTGCCCTGGGGGTGGCCCCGACAGACTGCATGATGGGCGGCCGGGACAGACTGCACGACAGACTGCATGACCCCTCACCCAGCACCTGGAGAGCCACCACCATAGCCTGGGCAGACAGCCAGCCTCAGAGCCAGTTGGGGACCAGGGGACTCAACCAGTGTCCATTCTAGCACACAGTCTGGAGCCAGGAGCTCAGGTCTGGGCCACACTCTGCCACCCTCGACCAGGCACGTCACTTCACTAAGTCTCAATTTCACCACCTTAAAGGACAGCAGGAGGCAGCAGTGGCAGATGAGACCACCCATTTCCTTACTTTGTTCCAAGAACCCTGAGACTCCTCACAGGTGATGGGACCCCCGGTCCCTCCTGCAAGCTGCTTCCACACCAGAGAGCTTGGAGACAAAGTACCGCACCATGCGCTGCCCACCCCTGAACCCGCTGCCCCACGCCCTTCCTTCAGGTGGGCCTGAGACGCACTGGTCCCTTCTGGGCTGGCCCCATTCAGACGCCCTCAGAGCAGCCCCGCCCACTGTCCCAGGCGCACCTCGTCGAAGACGATCCTGGATGGCTGCCTCGAGAGCTGCTGGACCGGCCTCGCTGAGGTTCTCCATGTCTTCCCAAAGAAGTAGCGGTAGGTGATGTCAAAGAGAGACACGCGCAGGTGGCATTCAGTCTCGGACAGCACCTCCAGCACAGCCTAGGAGACAGCGGGGAGGAGCCTGAGGAGCCCTGCGAGCCGCGAGCCACCCCACGCCCATGGCGGACACTCTGGATGGCACTGAGCACTCAGCCTCTACCCCACCTGCTGAGCCACAAGCAGCCCGATTTCCTTTCAGGAGCCGCCTCTCTCCCACGGCCACCGGTCTTGGTAGGACTGCAAATCCAGCGCTCAGCCCTCTCCCCAGCCAATTAGGGCACTCACTCAAGTTCCTGGAACAGACGCTGACTTAAGGTGCACCCAGAGCCAAGAGGACATGAGCCAGGGCTGCAGACGCAGACATGTCTGCCAGGATGCAGGCATGGAGCTGCTGGCAGCCACTCTGCCACAAGGGGGAGCCAAGAGATAAGAGAGAACAAGTCCAGAGAAAAGTCCAGATGAGAACCTAGATCAAACCACACCTGAAGCTTATATAACTGGATTTGTCTGTGATGAGAGGTAGTAAATCACCTCTGTCTAACTTAAGCTTAACATTTCAGATTGATTTGGTTACTTATTTGCAGTCCTCACAGGGCCAGAAGCTCTAAATTCTCAACTTGCCAGAATTATTCTGGGGTAGTATTAGTGGAAAAAAACAAAAACAAACAGATCTTCAATGAGTAAGAAATCATAGCTAAATTGCTTGGGGGGAGCTTGATTCTTTTTCTCTTATGAAAGATTAACTTAAAAGTATCTTTGGCTTTGTATGACTCATTTTCACTCATTGATAACAATTTGAAATAAAACCAAGGAGATGAAATCTCTAGATTTTGTGACAGTGTGACTCTACAGTCTCAAGATGACCTAGGAAATTGATGAGGTGAAGATGAGACTATGGAGACTGTTCATATTATGATTCAAAACCACTTTCCACTGTGGCATATAGGCCGCTCAGAGTGACGGCTCTTTTGGTAGGATTTGTTGTGTCTTGTGAGCAGATCATGTGTCCAGTGCTGGAAGGCAACGGTCACTGCCGTATCACCAGTGGATATTTTGACTCTGGTTCCCTCAGCATTACAGCCCAACCTGTAATCAATAATGAATATTTCTTGATATTTACTGCACAGGACATTTATTTATACTCAATAAATAGTCTTCACAAGAAATCATAGCTACAAAGACAGAACAAAGCAACCAGGAGACCAGCACTTGCACAGCTCGGCTCAGCCTCAGCGCCCCTGCTCCTGGGAGGCCAGCACGAGGCTCCGCTCCTGCCCGGGACGGTCTCTCTTTCCCTTCACTCACGGCCATTCATCAGACATCTATTCTGTGCCAAGAACAGGGACACAAGGGACAACCAGGCAGGCAAAGCTCCTGTCCTCACAGGTCCACTGCAGAAAAGACTTCTCTGGCCGGTCAGGAGAACGCCCCTGAGCCAAGCCTGGGGCACCTGGGGAGGACGGACCAGGTCGAGGGACAGCGACACCAGTGCCCTTCAGGGAGAACTGGGGCCTCTCTTCGACTCTGTGAACCCTAGTTTCCTAGCTTCTACATTCTGCCCTGGCTTCTGCGGCCTCCCTCCCAGGGCGATCCCAGAGCTGGCAAACAGGCTGCCCGTGAAAACATCCCTGAAGGCAAGCCACCATGCAGTCTTGCCTGCCCCTCAGCCCGCCCAGCTCTCACACCCCAGGAGACTGCGCCTCTGCCCTCCTGGTCCCAGGACCAGGGACCAGGCAGCTGGGGCAGCCCCTGTTCTAAGGCCACTGAATCATTCCAGCTGGCCAGTCCTAGGCCTGCCTACTCTGCCTCACACACACCTTCCTGCAGGAACCCCAGGACCGGCTCCCCCTAAGCCGACCAGAACCCCTCACCTCCTGATGGACCCTGTGCACGCGGTCACCTTCCTGCCCTGGGGAACCCTCACAAGCCCTCTTTCATTGACTGTTGTCTCCTGATCCCAGGCCCCACCAAGCCTGAGAAGAAACAAAAGCTCAGGGACATTCTCCAATGGTGCCTGCAGACTGCAGCAGATGGAGAGGGGAGGAGGCGGGCAGCTGGGAGGCCACAGGAGTGGGCCTCATGGAGCCCACTCAGAAACTGGCCTTGCCTCCCACAGAGGCCAGAAGACACAGAAAGACCCCAAGCAGAAACGGCCCGTTCTGATCCAGGATCTAGGAAAACGGCGGCTGCTGCCTGGGGAGAGGTGGAGGCCACAGCCCTCTGCGGACAGGAGGCAGCAGGAAGGGCACTGGCTAGCAGCAAGTGGCCCTCAGGCTGTGTCCTGAAGGAGCAGGGGCAGGCTGGACACAGAACAGGAGCGGGGAGCCAGGAGGGAGAGGGCGGCCAGCTGCCTCGGATGGCCCTGCATTCCCGGGTCCAGTTTGGAGTCCCATGTCCCTAGTGAAGGACGATAGCACACCTTCTGTCTGGGACAACTGGAAGGAGGTGGCATCGATTCCAGGGATGGCAAAGACAGGGTGAAGTCTGTGGAAGATGCCGGCTCAATGCTGTCCTCCCGCTGTGCAGGGCCACTGTTCCACAGAGGCCTCAACTGCTGCCCCTGCACCGCCCTCCTCCCCTCCACACCCAGCCTCCCCTGACCAGGCCACCCAGCCTCTCCAGGCCCTGCCCTGCCTTTCCCCAGGGGCTGTCCAGCTCTCACAGGCTGACTGACCACCATCCCCAGGTGGACAGCAGGCTGTGAGGAGGCAGAAGGCTGGCTCAGGGCCCAGGCCAGGCCACAGGAGCAGGGCTGAGCCCCTGCGCCTCCCAGTGGGAGTCTCCAGTCTCTCCTGCTCCCTCACCCTCCTGCCGCCTTCTGGGAAGGCCACTGCTGCCATTGCTGGCTTTGACTTCAGGACCTGAGCATCATCTCTATGTCCCCGCACCGTTCCAAACAGGTGTCCAGTAAACGCCAACTGAACCGAAAGCCATCCCAATAATGAGATGACGTCATGGAGTGGGAGAGTGAGAAAAAGACACTAGGACCATCAACAAAGTGCCTGAGCTTGAGGCCAACCCAGCTCCATCCCTAGGCAGGGCTGCTGCCACCCAAAGCCACCAGACTCGGAAGAACTGCAACTGTACACCTGGTGAGGCCCTCTAAGCCACATCTGCCCCCAGTCCTGTCTCCTGTCACTGCTGCTGGATTCTTAATGTAGAACTGGCTTTGCGTTCCTGCAGGGACTCCACGGGACATGATGTCCGTCCGTCTGTCTCTCTCACACACGG